TTTTTTTTTTTTTTTTTTTTGCTCGGAATCCATATGAAACTAAAAAGTATTGAGACCCCTACAAGGTTTTTGATTGCCTAGCTGGATTTACTGACAGTTACCATATCAGAAATCAAAATGAAAAAGTTTGACATTAAAGAATATACAAATATATATAGTCCATTAGACAACTGGGGAGTCACATCATCACGTATCTGGAAACTAGCATGTGTTAGTATAAGTATGAAGAGACAGTGTCTTCAGATTATCACAAAAACCTTTCTACATCGTGCACTCTCTAAAAGTGTCTCTGGGAACCCATACTGCGATTGGAAAATCGCTACGCTAGAATAAACACAGACATGGACAAAATCCACACCTTCAATAAAAGATTTAAAGAAACAAAATATGAGTTTCTACAGTAACATAAGAATAAAAAAACGTTGGTTTGATTAACTCAGAGGGCTCATGAAAGTGAATATTTTTTTTAGTGCTAGGGATGGAACTCAGGGTCTTTGCACTAAGCTACATTCCCAGCCCTTTAAACAACTTTTTATTTTTATTTTTATGTTTAGATAGCACTTTATTAAGTTGCTAAGTCGCCCAGGCAGGGTTTGAATTTGCAATTCTCCTGCTTCAACCTGACAATGCGCTGGCATTATCATGTCCAGCCTCCTGAACACCGGATGGAAGATATTGCTTTTTCCTTCAATGGAGGGAAAATCTCTGCAACTGCATTTGTACAACAACTGGTCTCTGATGATCAAATCTGAACATCACATTTAAGTGGTAGAGGTTTCTGAATATGAAAGATCAACATGATGAGAGTCACTGAAATATAGAGTTAGGAATACAAAGAAACAGCACTGTCTACCAATAAGATGCTTAGACAATGAGAACGTGAGTTTTCCCAGAACTAGAAGCTTCTACATGAAAGGGACTTGTGCTGTTTTAGAAGCCTTTAGAACTTGGCTTTTGAATTCCATAGCACCCACAAAAAAGTGTATTTATGATTAGGGTAAAACCATTTTAATAATCTTGACTTTATGAAAAATAAGAGGACTGGATAGCGAGTTTGGGAGGTTCGTGCTATCGGAGTACACAAAGCTGTGTACAGCTCTGTCAGAAACTCTCAAAAGGACTTTCAGCATTGGGTGGGGAAATGGCTCTGTTATTTTCAAGTTCCCTTCCAATCCTAGGACTGGAGAGAGGGCTTGCACAGCGATGTATCGGCCAACTTGATCTGAATCGTACGTTACGTACCTTCCCCTACCATCGTGTTTCCCCTCTCTGTGATCACTCTGATGTTTGGCTCATGGCTGGCGATGTCGGCCAGGATGACTTGGTGCCTGTTCAGAAGATTCTTGGCTACAACCAAGTCCTTGCCTACAGAGAAAGAATTGCAAGATTTGGGATTACCTTAACATAGAGAAGTAGCTTATAAAAAACACTTCACTTGTCGCCCAACATTCATATCAGTCAGCGAATAGGATGACTGTGGATTTCCTCAAACTCTGAAAATCCCCAATCCTTACTGCCTTCCTCACCCTCCTGATCTCCTAACCATGCTCCTCCTCTCTTCCGTCCAAATTTTATTTCTTTATACTTCGCATTCAAAATGCTTCTCCAGGAACTCTGTTTTTCCAGTCAGCTACAGACTTTTCTGAAAAGTTTCTACAGAGTACCCCTTTGTTGTTATTGTTATCCAGCCACACACAGATGCACCCAATACATAGGCACAACATTGCACTTTATTTAATTGCACTTTTTCCTGGGGTATTTCAGTGCAAATGTCCCGGTGCTGTCATTCATAAACTAAGTTTCCAAAGAGTAAAACACTTGTACTATACCTGCTACTTCCTCTTCACGATAGCTTATTTAGGTACAAAATAAGCCACCGATAACTTAAATGAAATACCTGGTGCATTGAGAATGAACTATGACCGCTCAGGTAAGAACTTTCACAATAACTTGAATTATAGGAGAAGCAGAAAAAGCTAAGTGCCTAGATAGTCCTAAAGATAGCAAATTCATTCCATTGCTCATGTCCAGTTTTAAGAGGTGAATTTGTTGACATGTTTAAAACTATATAAAATGTATGGAGGGCTGGACAAATGCTCAGTAAGGGGGAGTGCTGAGAGCAACCTTTGGGCTCTCTTCACTGCTCTAGCTGAGCTCTCTCAAACATTTATCTGCAGTCCATCTCCTTGTAGCTCGGCCTGCTCTCACTGTACTGACCAAGGCGGGTGGAAGCTGCTGAGGGCTCAGTCTCTTGTATCCAGGCCTCCTCATCTTCTGAGTCTCTGCAGATCTGCTGCAGATGGAGTAGATCAATGAGTTTCTTCTTTCGGGTAGCCAGTGGCTCTTTTAGGGCTTCGAACCGGGACACCCAGGACTCCTGCTTTGACCTCATGTCCTCAGAATCAGGATGGCTTATTTCTTCAAAATGTGCAGCCATGTCTGTGAGCGTTTCCACTTGATCCTGAAGGAGAAACAGAAGGTGTTTTAGGAAAACCCATCGTGGTGATGGGAGATAGTGAAAATGGGAAGATCGGCTCCTATATGTAATTAAGTCAGAGAACAGAGCAGGTGAGGTTGCTACATTAAAGGATCACCTGAAGCTAAGAGCTCGTCTATAGAAAAAGAACCTTCAAATAACATTTAAAAAGGACTAAATGGTCTAAGGAAATCTGAGGCAGATCAGAATTACAGAATGTGAAGTGTAGATGTTGCTGGGGATTTAGCTCAGTGGTTCTGCCGCCAGTCTCACAAGCACAAACCCAAGCCTGATCCCCGGTACCAAAAAAAAAAAAAAAAGAGAGAGAGAGAGAGATAGAATAAAATGATAATTTTAAAGTGTAGGTGTTGATACACTATACAGCCAAAGAAAACAAGTGGGAAGCTTTCTCTATCTGTGTTACCCATTCTTTTTCTCCCTCTTTGAATGAACTATATTTGCAAATGCAAATAAAAATTTTTGAGGTTTAAATTTGTTGTTTAACTGGAACAAAGCCTACAAGATGAAATGTGCTGCTACAAAAACAAACATCAGAACCTCAGAGAGATACAATGGCATTTCCTTAGCTGCAGTACAGCTGTCCCCATTTGGGCCATGTTTGAGACAGGAGAGAGAGTTTATTGGTATATTTTGGGTATACGGTACAGTTACATTCATCACTGGGATGTCTTTGCTTACTTTTAAAGAAACAAAAACTTTTTAAAAAGAAAATGAAAAAAATGTATCACTCCCTCTTTTGAAAATCCGTTCCAAACTATATCAAAGTCACCTGTGTGTGATTATTCTACCTCTAGCGTTTTACTTTATTTAAAAGCTCACTGAGCCATCTGCCCAATGCCCTTGATTCCACTCTTGGTAGCAGGGATCAAATTCAGTACCTTACTCTTGCCAGGCTGGCACAGCACCACTGAGCTACATCCCCTGCCCCAACTGAGCCATTCTTAAAGCTACAGCAAGCAAGTTTGCTTCCCTGCCTTCTGTACGTTTCCTGTCTCTCTTATTTAATTCAGAATAACCAAAGATCAGACATTTCAAAAGTGTATTTTAAAAGTGTAGATCTAGGGAAGAGCAGAATCAATTTTAAATGAACGTAAGTTTTCTGGGATAAGAAATCATATAACTGGAAGTGGATTTCCATTTATTTCTCCCAAAACTCTCAATATCCATGCTATGGAAACTTACTGAATAAGTTTATTTTAAGGAGCAGTCTGCAGGAATGTTGGGAGTGATAATCCCGAAACTAAGAACTTAGAAATCTGTATTATAATCCTAGCCCTGTTGTGACTTTGGAAAAGTCAGTTTATATCTTTGAATTTTCATTTTTATTTCTTTTTACCAGAAACTGAACTTGGAACCTTGAGCTTGAGAGGCAGGTGGTGGAACCATCAAGCTAAATCCCTGGCCCTGAACTTTAATTTTTGTAAATAAAAAGTTTTGATAGAGTTGACTAAATTTTCAGAGATTCAGTAATAGAATCAAAGTGGGAAGAGATAATTTCATCTAGAGCCCTTATTTTATAGGTAATGACATTGAAACAAATGAAGGTGAAATAATGTGTCAAAGATCACACCACTAGTAAGTGATAAAAGCTCTCTAAAATGCAGGCTTCAGGTAAAAAGGGTAATGGAAGAGGTAGAAATGATCAAAATATGCTATATGCCTATAGAAATATGCTAAAATGAAACCATTATTTTATAAAACATGCAGTAATAAAAACCCAGGTTTCTGTATTAAGAGAACAGTATTTGTTCTTAGAAGAATCAGTGACGTCTCACATCAAGAGTTGTGATGAAAGGCATTGAGGAGAATGGCTGGACAGGGTAGGTCCTGGGAGGAGGAAGCTGACATTCGATTCCTTGCCCTCTTGTTTTCTTAATAGTAATGATTTATTGTGGATGTGCTCAGTGCATGTAGCCATTTGCCTATAGGTGGCCAAAGAGTTAAAAACAAACCTGGCGGGCGATCACAGCCGACTCCAAGAGGCCGTGTTTCCTGAGTAGATTCTGCACATCAGCCAGGCCTTTCCCGTAGTCCTCGGAGGTGACCTGACCCTCCACCTCATCCAGCCAGCGCTTCAGGTCTTCTGCAGTATTTTCAAACAGCAGTTGCTGATTCGCTTCATGCAACTGAGTCCCTGGGAGAACACATTAGGTATAGGGCATTAAGAACCATAACTGTTACTCTCTACATGATGTTGTTCCTTCCTTCAGCTTAATCTTTTGATATTTTGAAGAGAAAAATAGCATAACTGTCTCCTAGTCATCACACAAGAATTCTTTTTATTTATTTTAATTATTTATTTTTTCTGGGGTACCAGGGATTAAACTCAGACCTTCACCTTATAACGCAGGTGACAATACCACTGAGCTAAATCCCCAGCCCACAAGAAGTCTTTTTAAATTTGGAAAATTCTGATGATATTTGGCATTACATATTACAATGTTCTCAAAACAATGAAAAGTGGTAAATTATATTCCCTGATGGAATACAGTTTTGCTGTGTCTAATTTTAACTGTCTAAAGTATTTTCATATGTCATTTGTTACTCCCTACTCAGACCTTTGAAAAGGATTCAGACTCAAACATAATACTTTCTAAGTAAAGTATAAAATGTTGGGTTGATTCCATTTGGAATTTGAAGTTTCTGAACTTCATTATCCTCACTCTCAGGGATGTTCATCACAAACCATGGCCAAGAATTTTCTGTTCCTTAAAATGTCTTGATTATTCACACTATACTGGGCTAAATTCTTTATTCTGTGAGCTTGTAGCAATTATTTTCATTACTTCTGCAGAGCAATTACTATGTCTTTGGGTATATCGATGACATTATTATAACCACATTGGATTCATCCCCTCAAAAAAAAAAAACCCCAATTAGGGTGACATCCAAAGTTATCAATATGCCATGTCTTTTCTGTAACCAGAGCAGTCATGTGTACACAAGATATTCTTAACACGTAGGGTGTTGACAGAGGAAACTAATTATTCATGCTAATTACTAACAAGTGATTAATTTTCCAAAGTTAGAAGTGAAGTAAAATATAAGTAAGATTATTCTAGCATACATATGAAATATTTCATAGAGTTTACAGCAGAGCCTAAAAACTTTTAGATTGGCAAAAAAAAATAAAAGAAACAAGTGATCACAGTCTTTAAGAAGATAATACCAGCTATATGTGATATGTGATGACAATCCCTGTAATCCCAGCACTCTGGGAGCCTGAGGCAGGAAGATTGCAAGTTTGAGCTGAAACTATGCAATTTACCTACTTGGTGATATTCTGTCTTAAAATAAGAAATAAAAAAGGGCTAAAAAGGTAGCTCAGTGTGAAGACCCTGGGTTCCATCCTCAGTACCAAAACAACAACAACAACAATGACAACAACTATATATGTATATTTGAAGAGAGACAGGAGAGAAGGAAAATAAAATTCTGGGGCACATCATATATAACCGAAATAATATTTGCATGTCTAATTTTTTGATATCGATTTTAGTATCTATACTATGACTCATTTATACTAGGTCTAGTTTATGGAACCTAAGTATACACAGCCTAATTAATAATGCACTAGATTTAGACTGCTAATAGAGATTTCATGACTCATTGATATTTATTTAATAAAAGAAAAAAGGAGAGAAGAAAAATGAAGAAAACAAAAAGGTGATTTTTACATAAGGGAAAAAAGTTTTGTTCCTACATTGTGTTAAATTTAGGTTAGATTTTATTTTATTTTTTTGGACCAGGGATCGAACTCGGGTCCTTGCGTTTGCAAGGTAGGCGGTGGAACTACTGAGCTCTAGGTTGGATTTTAAAACACTGAGCAACAGAAGAGAGACACAAGGAAGGTCGTAAGTTTCAAAATTAGGAGTTGGTTCACCATCAGAACTTCTGATCTAACCTTTTTGTGCTGTTGCCTCGAGCAACTCCTTCCAGAGGCCGACAATCTCACCGACTCGGGCTGTCACATCCTCTGAAGCGTAGTGACCGTCATCCACCATCTCCTGGCCCATTTTTTCAAGGCTGTTGAGCATGATTTCATTGGTTTCCACTTCCTTTTCAAAGTCTTGCTGCTTTTGAACACGACTTTTCAAATTCTGTGTATCCTAAGATGACAGAAAAACAAGCAAACAAAAACAATTCAGTGAAGAATGAGAGGGAGAAGTTCCGAGGACAAAGGAATAGAGATCGTCCCTGGGAATCTAACTGTGCTAAGGAGAGGACAGAAGGGAGCAGAATCTTTGTCACAGATGGTCATATGATGACCAAATCCTTCCTTCTCCGTATGTGGAAGAATGCCTAACCATCCCAGCATTTATTTCTACCAAACCTGGAAGTGGCCTGAGGATCATTTTGAATGTAACACCCCATGCAAGCACTAACATTTAATTAGAGCTATGAGAGATGGAAATCAGTCTGTATTCCTCTCCGTGCACAAACCGTCCATTCACTGGAAATGGAACTACTCTAGTGAATGCAAAGACGTGGAACCTAGTTTCACAGAATGAGTTGAGCAGCTTCCCTCCATCATGACTTCCACAATGCCATTTCTGCCTAGGAGCCACCTGTCTGTGGACTAAAGCGTGAGCCAAAATAAACTTATCCTTCTTTTATTTTTGGTTGTCAGGTATCGTGTCTCATCAATAAACAATGAAGACACTCCTGACGAGGATTTGGAGGACCTGGAACTATGCCTACCTTGTAATCTTCATCATCTGCCAGCTTTTTCTTCTTGTTGATCCAGTTCTTTAGGTAGTCTGAGTCCTGATACAGACGCTGCAAAAGCAGGGAATCTGACAGTAGTTTCCGTCTAACCGCAGCCCTTTCACGTAGCGCATCCCGCCGGGCCAAGAGCTGCAAAACCATGAGAAGACTCTCACTGTCTGCAGAACCAAACGTGGGCCCATGAGACCCCATCCTGGTCAATGCCCTCAACACTCTTCCTGAGCCCGGTGCACAGGCAGGCAGGTAGAGGCTCTGGCTCTGGACATACCCCGTCGCGGATAGCAGCAATGTTCTCTGAATCATAATGGTCATTGTCAATCAGTCTGGTGGCAGTCTCATCCAAAGTCTAAAAAAAAAAATAAAATAAAATAAACATGTATTGGTGTTCCTCCAATGACAGCTAAGTGTCACAGTTTGTGTAGCTGCTTAAAGATAAAGTACAGCAATGTGGGAAGATGATGCCACATTTCAGGTGAAAGATCTAGGCTCCAGTTATCATTTCTTTAGCAGTTGTATTTGAAAATATACCCCTTAGGCATGCTACTTATCTTCTCTGTGCCACAATCTTTTTCAATCCATTTGGGTATCACTTTAAGGTGAATATTTTATCTACTCTTAAATCATTTAAGAGGAAGGAGTATCAATGACATGTTGTCTAGTGGTCAGTCTATACAGGTTCTCTGTCTTACTTATCTATCATATAGATGGGTAGGTGGATAGATAGGTGATAGGTAGATAGTAGACAGGGCTGCATCTACATCTCTGAGGGAGATAAATCAGAAATTATAGGGGTGAAATTTTACTCATACTAGTTCATAGTTTCTCAAATCATGACAGCTCAGAATGGATTAAATGAATGGAATAGAAAAATGATCTAAAATAAAAAAACATTAATCACTGTTAATATTTACCAATGAAAATTAGCACAATAATCATATGGCTTACTAAGGAATTATTTTAAGCACCACACTGGTGAAAAGGAAAGATGTGGAATTTGTGATTTTGTATTCTGGTGATGATGATGATGATGATGGTGATGGTAATGATGATGATATGATGATGATATGTGTGTCTGTGCGTGTGTGTGTGTGTCTGTGTGTCTGTGTGTATGTATTTAAAGCCAGCATTATCCTAGGAGTCAGGCAAAGACTCACGGAATATTCCTCACATTTCTTTGAATCCTGCTTATATATGTTGTTCACTTTTCTGGGGAGTTATAACTCAAATTCACAGGGAAAAAAATCTGTTAATAGCATTAAATGAGAAACACAAGCATGAAGACATTATAAAGGAACAAATGCCATAAGGGAAAAGAAAAGATATTAACTTAGAAATCTAGACACTATGAGAAACTCTATTATTATTGGAAACGAAGAGCCAAATTATATTTTAAATGTTTCCCTAATAATTTTTTACTGAGTGTGAAACTAATCATTTTATTTATATTGTGTAAAAAATAAAACACATGATGGACCTCCTCAGAAAAAGCAATGCCCTACCATTTTGAAAAACTTTCTAAATATGCTTTGGAGAAAAAGAAATGCATTGATAAAAATAGGTATGGTTATTTTTCTGTATATTTTGTAAAGATAAATCCTTAAATTTTGGCTTTCAGAACATTCGTTATGTTTACAAAATTGAGTCAAAGAACTTTTAAAATCCCCATCAAATATTACCAACAACAAAACATGGGTAGGACTTCATAAAAAATAATCCTATGCTGTGTCAAATGGTTATAGTCATGATTCTGCCTAGGTTGTATTGGATGAAATAATGTACACAAACAGGAAGCACATGCCCCACCCCACTAGGGCCCATTTCTTACTATGATCTTCTCTTCCTGGGCAGTAAAGGCTTCCTCAAAGTCATCATGCTTCTGAAGCAGGGCTTCTACACTCCCCACTGAGTTTCCCAAGTCCTCATTTTCCAGAAAGGCCTGTAGAAGACAGAAAGATACATCCCAGATATCTTCATTGGTAAGTAACATTTCTCTTGGAATATCACTGACCCAAGGACTAAAGAAAACAGGCAAGAGAATTGGACAGCATGATAGGAATCAGCATAAATTAAAATACTGCATAATAATTAACCTCGAACAACATAAGATCTCAGATCTCCTTCCTGGTGTTCTCACATGATTTTCTTACCTGTATCAATGGATTTGTCTGCGTGAAACTTAATCAATCTAGGTATTATTTTGGGTTCTCAAAACTGCCTCAAAAGAACCACACACCTCCTCCAGGAAATCTTCTCTGATTAGGCCTGCCTGACTTATAACATTCTCCTTCTTTCCAGCCCCTTTCCAGTTTGACAACCATTTGCCTCATGTTCAGTTGTGGTATAATCCTGTTGCTATTGTATTTAAATATTTTTTTCTGTGCCTTTGCCCATGAGACAATTATAGGAGCTTTACAGAGCAAGTTCATCTTTTCTTTTCGTTATGGATCACTCCCCAACTCCCAGCACAATCTTTAGCTCAGAGACTGGTGGGGAGGTTAAATGTAGGATGGGAGAAGAGGTCTCTGAAGTCTGACTGGACGCCTCTGTTACCTCCTGTCTGCTCATCCAACTGTCCACTTGCTCACTGTCTCGGTAGAAGAGGTGAAAGTCCAAGCACTGCTGGTACTGATGCTGACGCTTGTCCCACAGTTCCAGCAGGGCAGCCCAGGCATTGGCAAGTGTTGTCATCTTTGAAGAGAAGACATTTAATTAATTTATTGCATTTAAAAAATGCAAAGCCTGTTGAAGGATAGAAAAATGCATAGGAAGTAATGCTGTTCTATTACGGTTCCAACATCTAAGCAAATAATTTTAGGATAGCAAAAATGGGATAAATAAAATAAAAGAGATAAAACATATTTTGTATGTATAAAAAAGGAAGAAAAAATTAATTCAAATGGGAAGAACCAAGAGTAAAAGTATGGGAGGAGCTGGAGATTTAGCTCAGTGGTACTGTGCCTGCCTCAGAAGCTCAAGGTCCTGAATTCAACCCCAGGTACCAGAAAAAACAAAACAACAACAAAAACCCACTAAAAACTAAAATTGGGCCATGGATGTAGCTCAGTGGCACCATGCCTGCCTGGCGAGCACAAAATCCTGAGTTTGATCCCCAGTACCACAAAAAAAAAAAAAGGGTTTCAGACAAATTTGAAGAGGGAGGAATATCAGGGTTGTAG